AAAGTTTTTTAAGTAATCTACAATTTACTGAAATTTGTATTTTACATAAAAACAATAAATTGTCCAAAAAAATTAGATTTTATAATTTTTGTAATGGTTTCAATTGTATAATAATTGTGTAGAATTAGAGAAACCTGTAACCTGGTTTTAGGACATTTAAATGATAATTACAGGATTCTATATTTTTATTGGAAAAAACATTTGGAAAGATAATTTCAAGTAACAAAATGTCCAATTGAACAAAGTAGTTTTTTAAGTTTGGGCAGAGTGAATTACAGGAATCTGTACATTTCAAGTCTATAGTAGGCTGTCTCTCTCTCACAATCAACACTTTGCAGTCATGTAATCCCCTCATTGCAAATAACAACTCGGCTTCGCCTCGGGAAAACGTCACTAGCGCAGCGCCATCTATATGTGTGTGTACTAACTCACTAACCATTGACTGGATTCGGTACATGTCCAGGGCTCAGGTACTAACAGCATTGCATGTGTTCAGCTGAGGCCCTCTAGTGCCGATTTTCCCAAGTTGGCTGTGCGTAGTAAGCCCGGCAATACAACAACAGTGAGAGAAAGCGAGAAGGTGCTAGATGAGAAAGTGACACAACGTACCGAAGAATATATCGATGACGTCACAGGAGAGAAACGAGTTAGGACAATCGAATATGTCGAGAAGCTGATAGAGAGAGAGGTATAAAACAAGAGAAACAAACAATTTTCCAACCAATCAGCATGAATTATACACACTCACACCTGGTTAGTCTTAACACCTTTTTTCTTCTAGTAGCACACTGCGATCAGCTTTTGAAAATTTTTTAAATATATTATTTCGGACGAGGCACTGCCGAGGAGCTGTTACTGTTTCTTGTTTGTGTTGTTTTCTCGCTTGGGGTGAATATAGCTGTCTCTTTTTAAGTACAGAACGAACTTTGCAATTACAGGAATCTGTAATTTAATTTCGTTCGTGCCCTCTTTTAACCTGATTTTTGGTAGTAATTTTTTATTTATTTTTTTTGAAAACAGGTAGAGACTCTACAAGAGAAAATAATTTCGTTAGAATTAACCAAACCGGAAGACCTTAATGGGGGTAATGACCCTGAGACGGCGTCAGAACCGCCAACTCCGACCACTGGTGATGAAAAACCCTTCGATGAGGAAGTCACAAGTGCGAAAAAACGTCGGAAAAAACGTGCAAAAAAAGGCAAACATTGAACTCTAGTTTAAAAACATCACGTTTCTACAGGGTGGATGGGTTTTATTTTTAAGAGTATATAAATTATTGTTATGTACAAAGTATTTAATGTATCGTAGGCTCCAAGGCTGGTTTTTTAACACTTTTCACTTGTGTGGTGGTGCGATTTTATACGAAGAGCCCCTAATTCGCTTTGGATTTGAAATTTTAATAAATAATAATATAAGTAAAGACTTTTTTTTAAGCCTAAAAACTGTCCACATGCGGTATTTCTCGGAAATTGAAATTACAGGAAACTGTAATTTCGTCCACATTTGACAGATTTTTTTGGGTTTTTTAACATATTGGAGCGACAAAGTGGAATGCAATGTAATTATACTCCATTTCTTGTGCTTAATGCAAACTTGATGAAAATTAAACTTACAGGAAACTGTAATTTTCGCAAAATTTCTTTCATATCGCATAGATTTTTTATTTTTTTAACACATTGGGGCGACAAGATCGAATACAATGTAATCACACTTTAATTGTTGCCCTTTTACCTTGAATAATCTAAATTTATTAGTTAGAATTACTTGGTCCTGTTTTTTTGTAGTTTTTTTTGTATTATTTTTTAACCTTCTTGGGGGACAAGTTTTCATTTMCAACTTTTGCTTAGTTCAACAAAAAGGCGGTTTCTTTGATGTTTCCGCTCGCTGCTTCAACTCGATAATTTAATGAATTTTTTTTTCAAATAATTTTTTCGAATTTTTTTTCAATTTGATAAATTTTTTGAATCTTTTTTACACATTGGGGCGACAAAGTAGAACGCAATGTAATCATACTTCATTAGTTGTCTTTCACCTTTAAAAATCCAAACTTGATGAAAGTTGAAATTACAGGAAACTGTACACATTGGAGCGACAAAGTAAAAATACAATGAAATTATACTTTATTTGCCGTTTTTCCAGCATTAAAAGTCAATCAGAATTACAGTTCCTGTATTTTTTTATAGTGAAGGTTATTTTTGTCATCTTGAGGCTGCTATGAAATCGTTCTTTATTTGTTATTTTTTACCTTTAATATTTTGAATTTAATAATTAGAATTTTGAGTTGACTGGTCTTCATCAAGAAGGCTATTTCTTCACTGTATTTCCTCTCTTCGGATAACCTCGTTTCGGCGATCGGATTGTTCCGCTCGCTGCTTCAACTGGATAATTTAATAAAAATTGAAATTACAGAAAACTGTAATTTTCTTAATATATTTTTTTGCATTTTTTTACACTTTGGAGTGACACAGTAGAAATGCAATGGAATCATACTTTATTTGCTGTTTTTGTACCTTTAAAAATTTGAATTAAATATTTTTTATTGTGAAAGCTAGTTTAATTTTTTTTGTATTTATTAGCCATCTTGGGGCGCAAATAAGTAGAATGCTATGAAAATCGCTCTTCATTTGTTATTTTAAATTTGAATTAAATAATTGGAATTACAGATTCCTGTAATTTTGTTTTTGCTATTTAATTGTTCTTATATTGTTTTGGGTTATAAATGGAACTATTTTATCTTTTTTGAGCTTTTAATAAGTAATAGTGTTATTTTTTGGGTGCTATAATGCCCTCGAGTTGCGTTTTGAGCTGTTGATTGGTCTTCATCAAGAAGGCTATTTCCTC